TATCATGAATCACAAGAAATGTTGTCAATACTTTGTTTAATGTGACTCTCCCCCCGCCGTCCAAAAGTCAAAAAGGGGTGGAGAGTCTGGCCACGCGAGACTAGCATCAGGCTGCATGCATGCATGCAGGCCTAGTTGACCACACCCACTAATTACCCCACCCATATCATTATGGCCCCCAAAAATTCAATCCTAGATCCGCCCGTTTCCAACCACCAGTCTAGTGGAGAGTCTAGCTTTCTGTCAATTACAGGGACACATAGATACTGCTTCATTTCCACCATGCAAGCACTCACTTTGGGTGGTCTGTGTTGTCATAGATTCAATGAGTTTGGCATCAAAGAAAGACCATACAGAACTCATGTCCAGAAATTGCAATGGGACTTCCGGTCGCGTTAATTTAATGATATTCATTGGAATTACCATAGCAACGGCAGTTCAGCAATGGTGGATTGATAGGAAGCTTCACTACAAAGCTTGCTAACGTCTTTCTGGTACATGGATGGGACTTCACTAGATACTTGAGGCTTCTAGAATGCTACTTAATGCAATTGGTTATGGTAGTTTTCTCATATTCTTTTGTTAAAGTGGCAAGCGTGGTGAAAGAACAGGCTCTTCTCAACAAATGGCCGTCTTACTTCAAAAAGGTCTAGAGACGCTATTTGCTTGTATATATAAGATGTTAAGCACTCTTTCTTTCACTTTATTATTCCTAAGAGAAGAGGAAAGCACTTGTGACTTGTTGACTCTTGCTGCTGCACCCGTCATCATTGAAATGGCTAAATTTACTTCACCTTCAGGAGACAAATGTTCCAAACAAAGTTTTGAATTTCTTTATCTTTTTTGCATCATTGGGTAGTAAGAATTTTGTACTTTCACAAAATAAGTGAGCAAATTGTCAAAAATTGTTTGAAATTTAGATATAACCATTCAAAAAGTAAAAAAAATTATCATACATACATAAAGGAATAACAAGATGGCGGCACTGACTGCCTCATCTTCAATTGGTAAATGTTCCACACAAAGTTACTCCAAATGCTGTAATATTTAGCAGGAACACAGGCAGATGGATGAAGAACAGCTACTGAAGTGCGCAAATTGATGATTCTTATTGTAAAGAAAGATATAGCCTAATAAATGGAAATGTCCATTCCTGCCCTGTATAAAGTCAACCAGTAGTATACGGAGATAATTGCTCAGTATACTACTCCGTGTCCACTCATTTCTGGACATGAGTAGAGCTAGATGATCTAGCAGGAACTGCATGGGTCAGTTGTTGTTACTCAAACTTTCTACACAACATAATAACATGTATATGCATCATAAATCGTGATAAAAAATGAGAATTTTCTACTTTTCATTAAAAAAAAAAATATGGCCGACGCCGGAGTCGATGACCCCGGCTGTACTATTAGTAACGCAATAGCGTTACTATACTTATATACTAAGTAGGATTCACCCCAAAACAATATGGCTGCCACACTTTTGCAGCCTTGCTATACCGGGAAAACGGCCCTCCTGTGCTTACCAAACTTTATAGAGGACCTTATCTTGACCAGAGGACTCCATTGGTATCACTAGCATGGCTATAAAACTTGTCTAAGAGGAAGGTCAAAAATCGGCGAACCGGCCGTTTTGTTCAGCCCTCGGTTCACACCTTTTTTCATCTTCGTCATCATCATCTTCCCGTCAATCAGTTAAGCAGGGGTATCGTGATCTTTGAACAATGCTACCTACAATGCTAATTCTTACACCGTTCTACTCCAACTATCTATGCGCAGGTTGACAACTTTTTAAATAACTCTAAAGGCCTTCATACACGAGGCAACTTGTTGCCAAAAATAGAACATCTTTCTATTTCTGGCAACATGTTGCTTACAAGATCAAAGTAACCACAAATGTTGCTAGCAACAAGTTGCCTCGTGTATGAAGGCCTTAAACAATACGAAAAAGTTGCCCCCTCTCCATCACCACCAGCCCAGCTTAACTCATTCCGCCATTTTTGTTAATTAAAGAAGCATGCATTGCATGTGCTCCAAAATGTGGGTGTGGCTGCGCATGCTCAGTTCTCAGAACTGGGAAAAGAAAGCAATTTTTTATCTAGCTCTACTTGGATCAACTGCAATACTAAGTGGAAGTTCCAGGCTTCCAGTTACAGCTAAGAGAAGTTATTTAGTCTTGGATATTGTTTTATTATGTGTGTTCAATAAATTGTGTTTTAAAAACACAAACAATATTAATTCATGTTATACAATGATCA